AAATACAAACCATATATATCTTATATGTGTAATAAATGTATATCAATAACTATTATGTGCTTATCTAATATAGATTACGAATAATATTTGTTTATATCGCCGTTTATATCAATAGTAATATATTATAATTGTTTCTTTTTATAGTTACCATGATATTCGAACTATTTCTTTATATTCTAGACGAATATCAGCTCTGTCAGATTGAAAAATATTCAAGATGTTAAGAAACATATATCGTCGCGCTTTTCTTAGATACAAACTGAACGTTTAAAATAATAATGAGCAGTATGTGTAAAGCTTTTATTGTGCAGGGATATAAAGTTTTCGCCGTGAGACGATGTAATCATAAATTCTATGTAGCAGTATATTCCAGCTTATCTCTCTACTAAAACATATGCTCTGTTATCTATTCTATTTCACGTTACATGGAATATTTCATGGATATTCGTAAAACTAGACTTGCAACGGAATACTAAAGACGCTATAGACTGAAAGAACGAAAGAACTTTAAAACATAGAATAGCGACTGTTTGAAACTTTTTAAGTGGGAACTGTAGTATGATGATCATGGATTTGTTTGATACGCAATTTCGGATCAATAAGTTTCTTTTGTCTTTCGTAGGACTTTGGCCTTATCAAACGATGGTTATTAAATTTCTAAACATATCATTTAGCATATTCGGATCTATGACAATATGGCTACCACAGGTATGTTATTCTTTAAATAATAACAAAATTATTTACAGCATTTTATTTAAACACATTTATTTAAACACATTAAATACATATGTTTCGCGTCAATTATTAATTACGCAAACGAAATGATAGTAGTGCGAGCTATGTTATAATAATGATTGTATATACAGGGTCTGCCAAAAGTTCCGAAACGGCTAATTATTTCAAAAAATAATAATTGTTCAAAACAATATTTGAAACAAAAGTTGTAGAGCTCAAGAAAAGCTATCAGATATTGATAATTATTTGATCTTGGAATGACCTTAAGAAATGTTATCAAGGTCGACATAAAAAACTTAAATAGAAACTTCAATTTTTTATTACACCGCCTTTTTCCAACAATTAATTTGAACAACTTTTGTATGAAATATTTTTTTATTTGCCTAATATTTTTTGAGATATTTAGGGATAACTTGGTAACTTTTCCAATATTTAACTTATCTCGCTAACTGTTTATCGGGATAAAAAAATGGTACTAGACTTTTCCATTCTACTTGGTCTCAAGAATATATTGTTACAATAGCGCCCTGACTTTTGTTAAGTTGATGATATTGAAATTTCGTAAAATCGATAAATTAACAAAAAATACAGCTTTGTTGTACCAATATATTCTTGAAATCAAATAGAATAGAAAAGTCTAGTACCATTTTTTTATCTCGACAAACAGTTAGCGAAATATCGTAAGTTAAATATTAAAAAAGTTACCAAGTTATCGTTATAAATATCTCAAAAAATATTAAGCAAATGAAAAAAGATTTCATACAAAAGTTGTCCAAATTAATTGGTGGAAAAGATGGTGTAATAAAAAATTAGAGTTTCTATTTAAAATTTTTATGTCAACCTTGATAACGTTTCTCAAAGTCATTTCTAAGTCAAACAATTATCAATATCTGATAGCTCTTTTTAAGCCCTACAACTTTTGTTTCAAACATTGTTTTAAACAATCATTATTTTTTGAAATAATTAGCTATTCTGGAACTTTTGGCAGACACTGTACATGAAAACATGTTTTATCCAAGTGTACAAGGATTAATTAAAAAGTTTCCGATCTAATAAAGAAAGAGTAAGATTTCAGTCAAATTTCAATACTTGTCCAATAGATAGCAGTGAAGGAAACATAAATATATAAAAAAAAGCGTCCCTATACACAGAGTCTGACCATTCAAACGGTTTTGTAATAAAATGGCGTCTGTTGTGTTGCAAAACACATACTTAGGGTGTGTTCCAATATTCACTGCCAGTACTGAAAATGTATAGTACATGTAACATGAACTATATATTTTTAGTACTGGCAGTGAATATTGAAACGCAGCCTTAGATTGAACACTTTTTCTTTATTGTTTTACGTTGTTGTAAATCAAGAATTGATTAATCTTTAAAGTAAGTAAAACTATTGTATCATTCCTTGCAATATGAATTAAATATATAATAAATTATAAATTATAAATTTCAAAGAACCAAACTTAGAGACCAAAAAGGTTATTGACAAACTATATAATTACAAATAATTAAAATATAAATGTAAATAGATAGAAGTCAAAATACGGAGCTGCTGTGTTATTGGGTGCAAAAATTATTACCAAAAAGGATTTTCTATGTGACTATTTCCAATAGATCCTACAAAAAAGGTGTTATGGATGTCAAAATTTAATAGAAAGAATTGGGAATCATAAAAAAATGGTTTATATGTGAAGTAAGATATTCAATATTAAATATTGTTGATGAATGAAAATATAATACTTATTGCATTAATATTTTATAAATGCATTTTTCTGAGGGAGAAGCCTCGTATAGACGACAAACGAAAATTAAAGTTGAATGCAGTACCAACAATTTTTAATCAGTTGCAGGTATAAAAAATGACACATTTAACTAAAATAAATAATGAACATAATAATTTTGTGTTTTTGATGTAAGTATCTTTTTACTTTTAATTATGTAATTGCCAATAGTTGCCAGATAAAAAAGAATCAATTTTGAAGTAATCTTTAAAATAATCATCCTTTCATATATTTTTAGATTGAAGGAAGAGAAAATGAAACACCTTTCTTATCAACAAGTGATTCTGATCAACAAGTTATTCTGAATAAAGCATATTGTCAAATGGAAACTGATATTCAGCAAAACTCCAATAATATAGAAACATTCAAGACATATCATGAAATATAAATACAACATAGTATGAATAGTATTTCAGATTCAGAACAATCAATATCACTACCATTAAAAACGATGGCTATGCATTCAATTACATATAATTAAGTGATTTTATATATTATAATTCTGCCCAATGTTATGACTGTTCAGTATATGAATTATTTAGTTTATGAATTATTATTATGTTAACAAAATGATGTTACTTTTTCATGATAATTAAATATATATGATTATAATTATTCTGTCATTTATAATACTTCTTCTGTTTAAATTTGCCTCATTTTTGTACTATTTCTGATTGGTCCCGCCATTTAATTACAAAATTTGAAAGCAGCCAATAGAAATATGGACGGTCAGTAGCCAAACTTTATGTATAGGGATACTACACAAAGAGCTAAGTTTGATGTCAATAGGCTTTATACCTCGGCATAGTACACTTTTTGTACACCTCTTTATTTTTCAATAAACTAAGTTTGATGTCATTCTAGCAATTCATTTGTTTCTGATAGCCTTTCAAAGTTACAGTTTATCAACAATGGAGAAATTGAAATATCGCGCCGTGATAAAATTCCTTTATTTAAAAGGGAAAACTTCTACGGCAATTTAAATTAGAAAGTTGAAGTTGAATTAGATTCAATGTGTGGAGATGCTGTTCCTTCATTTACCACCGTAAAAGCCTGGGCTGCTAAGTTCAAGCGTGACAGAATGAGTATTTTCAATGAAGAACATTCTGCATGACCAAAAACCGCAGCAATAGATGAAATGATCATGTTATATTCACCAAATCGTGATGGACGATAGTATATTAACTTTAAAAAAGATAGAGGATGCTGCTGATGTATCATACAAACGAGCATTTTACATGAGGAATTAGGTATGAGAAAGCTGAGCACACATTGTGTACCGCGTTTGTTCATTATTGATCAAAAACATCGGTTGGACATTTCACAATCGTCTGGAGCATTTCAAGCACGATGGAAAGGATATTTTACGGCGTTTTGTTATTGTTGACAAAACTCTACATTCTGGAGACAAAAGAACAGTCAAAGCAATGGGTTACAAAGGACGAATCGACTCTGCAGAAAGCAAAAGCAGTTCCGTTGGCTGGTAGGTTATGGCCAGTTTTTGGGATTCTTATGGGATAATTTTTGTGGACTATTTGGAAAAAATAAAAAAAACACCAGAGAATATTATGCTAGGCTATTATAACGTTTCGACATAGAAATGAAAAAATAAACATTCGTATTTAGCCAAAAAGAAAATTTTCTTCCATTAGGACAATAGCCCACAAATCAGCTGGTATAATGATGAAATTGTACAAACTGAAAGAACAAATTAATTCCACATTCACCGTATTCTCCAAATTTGACCCTGTACAATTTGTTCCTGTTTCCAAATTAAAAAAAAATAGCTATTTGGGAAAAATTTTTGTTGGTTGCTAAAGTGATAAGTACCGTTAATGACTGTTTTTCGGATTTAGATAATAGATATTTTATTGACGGAATGACAAGCCTAAAAAAACACTAAACCAAATATATTGAGTTGAAGGAAGACTTAGTTGAGAAATAAATATCATTTAGCTCAAAAAAATGTTTTTTTCTTAATCAGATCGGGAACTTTTCAATCTACCTTCGTACATTAATGAGACATATAATATATAACGAATGCCATACATATTTTATTTATCACTAGATATTATATATTTTCGAATATTCGAGTGATTTGGATGAAATTTTCGAAATCATGCCAACCATGTGTGGTTCAATGATATGTGTTGTGAAAATCATTTGTTTAATCCGCAATTCCGAGAAGGTATAAACGATGAGGTAATGTCGAATTTGTCAATTCATTTTTGAAAGCGTTGTTTCAGTTTAAGGTATTACTACGTTTAACATTTGAGGATTGGAATAATCTGTCGAAGAGTCAAGAAATGCAGATTTTAACACGTTATGCCAATACTGCCCGAAAGTTCACACTCACATATTCAAGTATGAATTATGAAGAAAATATGTCAGTGCACAATTATTGTCAAACAAATTCACTTTGTTGGCAAGGAAAATATATTACAAAATTTTTTAATTTTATCTCATTATTTCATAATACAAAAATGTATTTTCCCTGGTTAGTTTGTGTAATCGGATGTGTATTTTGTTACGGAATGTTGCCTCTTGCCACACCTGTACTTGATATTGTTTCACCTCTGAACGAAACGAGGCCGAGAAAGTTGCCTCATAAGGCAGAGTACTTTATGAGTCAAGAGAAGCATTACTACGTACTTTGGTTAAGTCAACACGTCAGTTATATTATATGTTGTATTGTTTTAACAGCCATCGATACCACTTTCTTTTTACTCATGGAACATGTTTGCGGGATGCACACTATATTATGGTAAGAATAATACCGATTAATCCTAGTTTGATATTTATCCAAATTAATAACTGATTGCAAAACTTACGTACGTAAGATAAATATCTCAATAATCGGACATTTAACGCTGCACTGTTTGCTACGATTGTTTAATTTTATAAAGATATGAAATTTATTAATGTATTAGGTGTACAAACCATTCGGAGTGTGATATAGTTTTGAGGGTTTTGCAAGAGATGGTACTAAAGTCATGACTCATTTTGTCGAAGAGATTTTAATCACAACTATTGTTTCTTAATGTTTTAATATTAATCCATGATATTTAGTCTTTTACTAACAACAGACGCAATAAAAATCATGTTAATACCATCTTAAAAATGGAGCTTCTTAAAGAGCCTTTTCGACATGCATTACTTTTCTTTTTTAATCAGAAGAAACCGGCGGCTGAAGATCATAGAATTCTAAAATAGAAACTTATGGTGATGTTGCTCCATCAATTAAGACATGTGAATATTGGTTTAGACGATTCAAAAGTGGTGATTTCAGTATCAACGATAAAGATCGCTTAGGACAGCCAAACAAATTTGAAAATGTAGATTTGCAAGCATTATTGAATGGAAATCCAGCACAATCCACTTCAGAACTTGCCGGAGCATTAAATGTTGATCGTACAACAGTTACTAAACATTTACATGATATGGGAAAGATTCACAAAGAAAGAAAATGAGTTCCACATCAATTATCGGAAAATGCCATTGAAAACCAGTTGAACATTTACATTTCGTTGATCACCAGACAAAGTGAAGAGTTTCTTGTATCGAATTGTTACTAAGGATAAAAAATAGATCTATTTCGATAATGCCGAACGAGAAAATCATGGGTTGATCTAAGCCAACCACTAACATCCACTAACATCCATATCGAGACTTAATATTCACGGTTCAAAAGTATTGCATAGTGTACCAGGTATGTCGGTAATTACTTTCCGGTTTTTGTAACAGATGTCACTAGCCATAAGTATGCAATGTTATGATTTGATACATATGTCATTTTATTCTACTGACATTAACCTCAAAACTATACAAGTTACGTTCCGCCAAAATAACAGCGTTATAGATTAATAATTTTTTGAAAATGTCGAGTTTTGTGCCTGAAAACGTGCATTTGCGGCACGCATTACTTTTCTTGTTTAATCAAAAGAAAAAAGCCGCTGAAAGTCATCGTTTGTTGGTAGAGACTTACGGTGAGCATGCTCCAACCATAAGAACATGTGAAACGTGGTTTCGACAATTCAAATGTGGTGATTTCAACGTTCAAGACAAAAAACGTCCTGGTAGGCCGAAAACGTTTGAAGATGCGGAATTGCAGGAGTTATTGGATGAAGATCCAACACAAACTCAAAAACAATTGGCAGAAAAGTTGAATGTGAGCCGAGTAGCAATTTGTGAACGATTACAAGCGATGGGAAAGATCCAAAAGATGGGAAGATAGGTGCCACATGAATTTAATGACAGGCAATTGGAAAATCGAAAAATCGTCAGTGAAATGCTGCTTCAAAGGTATCAAAGGAAGTCATTTCTACATCGAATAGTAACGGGTGATGAAAAATGGATTTATTTCGAAAATTTATTTCGAATCTATTTCGATTAATTTCGAAAACAGTTAATACTGATCGCTACCAACAACAAATGATCAATTTGAACTGTGTATTGATCGAAAAACGTCCACAATACGCTCAAAGACATGATAAGGTAATTTTGCAGTATGACAACGCGCCATCTCATACAGCAAAACCAGTCAAAGAAGTGTTGAAATCACTTGGATGGGAAGTTTTATCGCACCCGCCGTACTCTCCAGACCTGGCTCCATCCAACTACCCCCTTTTGGCATCGTTGGGGCACGCGCTTGCAGAGCAGTACTTCGCCGATTTCGTAAAAGTTAAAAAATGGTTCGATGAATGGTTTAGCTCAAAGGAGAAACAGTTCTTTTGGAATGGCATCCATAAATTGCCTGAGAGATGGGCAAAATGTATAGAATCAAATGGCCAATACTTTGAATAAATATATTTTAACTATCCATTGTAAATAAACGTGTTTTCTTTAGCGAAAAAACCGGAAAGGAATTACCGACACACCTGGTAGTTTCTGAGATATTTGACTTTAAATTTTTATAATTGTACGTTGAAGTATATTTGAAGTAGACAAGCAGTTTCCATTTACTTTAAATGTAGGTAACAGTACATATAAGTGGGAGAGGAGGTGTTTGGTGGGATCAGAAGGGTGTGATCTATTATGAGCTGCTAAAACCTGGCGAAACGTTAATACTAAACGCTACCGATAACAAATGATCGATTTGAATCAAGCTTTGCATGAAAAACGACCAGAATATCAAAAAAAGCAACACAAAGTAATTTTGCTTCATGATAATGCACCATCACACACAGCAAAACTGGTCAAGGAAACAATTGAGGTGTTTAGTTGGGAAATACTTTCGCATGTGGCTTACTCACTAGACTTGGCTCCGTCCGATTACTACTTATTTGCATCGATGGGACACGCACTTGCTGAGCAGCGCTTCACTTCTTACGAAAATGTATGAAAATGGCTCGATGACTGGTTTGCCTCAAAAGAGCAACAATTGTTTTGACGTGGCATCCACAAATTGTCCGACAGGTGGGAAAAATGTATAGCTAACGATGGACAATACTTCAAATAAAATATTTTTTATCATTTTCATACAATAAACGTATTTTCTATACAAAAATTCCGGTTTCATATTTACATACCTGGTATATATTTACCGTTGTGACGTATTACAATTGTGGACAAACCGTTATTGCGAAATATTATCAACAATAACTTATCCGTTTAAATGATGCATTGGAGCAAAAAAGGCCTTATATTAGCCGGATATAGACAAATGATTGTACAATGCTCGACTACATACCGCAAAAGGGATTTAAGACATCATCTATACTGTTACGTCCTAGAGGAGGAACGTAACTTGACGCTTGCTTTCACAAGCTCCAATGTACTCGCAAGTCTGCAGTGCAGATCAAGGATCGGAATAACCCCTTTATTTGGCGCGGACGTACGTCGGTTCTTTATTTAGATCAAGGAACTGAATCCTTTTACCTGGGATAGGACCGTGAGCGACGGTTAAGGGAAGGGAGAATTTTTTGAGAATAATTAGTAAGAAAACGTGATTGCGATGTAATTACAAATTGCTCATTTTATTGATAGCTAAATGGAAGTTCACAATGAATGTATATCCGTTGGAATTCGTAAGGTTTTATAATATGTACATATATATATATATTAATATGAAATAATCGCGGTCTGAGCAAAATTCTGTGTTCGTTATGTCCGATTGTGATCGAAAAGATTGGGCCACTGAAATTGGATTTCACAATTAAGGAGGAATGCCAAGGGTGATAGAAAAAGAAGAGAGGAAAAGGAAAGGAAAAGAAAAGAGAGAGAAGAAAAGATAAATAATAAAGGAAAAGAGTCAATCAGGCAAAAGAAAATATAAATAACTTACTGCTGGTTCTATGATATTTGTCGAAAATGAAGAGAGTAATTGTTGCGGGTCTGTGGGGGTGGATGACTCAAGTTCTGCGCCAAGAATCGGGAGCTGGTATCAGCTGGATTGCTCACAATGGTCCAAAAATACACGAGATCGTTACACAGAATAATTAAAGACTGGAGGAACACTAATCTGTCTAAGCCACTAATAGACTAGATTGTTAGAAAGACCTTGAAGGGGTGCTGAAGAGGAGCTTCTGTCCCGGTTGCTGGTCTGGCGAAAAGTCAAGTGGCCTTTTGGCTTTTCTCAAATCGTCAGCTGGATTGAGAGGGCGGAGTTTTGGGGAATTGCTTTGAAAATCTAATTTTTATGCCCTAATATGGTCATAGGACTGTGCTTCGAATGTTTTTTAAAGGTGGGGGTCAAAAGTACGTTGCACTAAAGTGCTAAAGTGTCTTTAAAATAATTTTGTAGGAGATAGGATGCATACGGCAATAAGAGGATTTCGAGAGTCTCTTTGTTCTTACAAAAAAAGAACGCGGCAGCAATCTTATTAAGAAGGAAACATCGATATTTTTACCCGAGTTGTCCAATGATAAGTAAGGGAATAGTTGAGTTCAGTTGCGGTTAAAAAGGATGTCGCGATATTGTTAACGTTGACTAAGCGCGTAGGAAACAAGATCTGAATTGGTTCAAGGATTTGGTTAATATTTCAGGAGCATCGGAACTTCCAGAGATTCCAGGGCCATCGCGTCGTGTGATAACATGCCTGAGCGCATCCGGCCATATAATAAGTAATATAAAATTCAATTTTCCTTACTTATAAAAGAAGTCTAGAGTATGCGGAGTCCGCAGGACGTAACAATATATTGGGCTGGGAAGTTTTTCTTCACGCGATTTATTCACTATATTTCGCTCTGTCACACTACCACGTATTTCGATCGTTTCAGCATTACCTGGCTAATAAGCACTTTAAAATAATTGATGAAGCTGGAAAAAGCATCAATGACTTCATCGAGTCAAAACCACCAAGTTTTTTCCGCAAGGGCATTCGTCAGTTGCTCAAAAAATAAAGTAAAGTCATCAAAAATAATAAAGATTATTTTTAATATCAAAAGGAAAACTTGTCCTTTTATTAATAAATTTTATAAATAAATTTTGAATTTCATAAAAAGAGACACCGAATTAATTTGTACACCTAATAAATATGCAATCGAAAACTGAAATATGAAAATTTATTATTAAGAAATAAAAAATATAAAAAGTTTCAAATTTATTTAAAAAATAATCAAAATTTTAAAGAATATAAATGTACCATTATCCGAACAGTTGTCCCGATTGCTAAACTCTGTCGATCCAATATCCAGACATAATTATTATGCAAATCAATTCTTCATTTTTATTGACTTTTCATTAACCTTCTGTTAACTATTTGAAATCATCCTATGTTAATCATTATTTTGTTTATAAATATTTTATAAATTATATATAATTATATATGTCTCGTATAAGATAATAATTATATACTCTATTTTTAATTACGAACTGTTTATTTATGTTCCTTCATTTGTTTTGCGTTTTCTATTATTTTATTAAATCTTTTTTTTTCTAATTTCTTCTTTGTTACTGGTTTTTCTCTTTTCTTCGATGCTTATTTTCTTGTATTTTCATATTCCAATTTCTGGTCAATATTAGATGTTGAAAATATTACTATTGGGTAGAGCGTAACCTAACCCATTTATTCATCAAAATTTTTGGAATTTTTACTAAAAATATTTCACTTCATTTTAAAAGGAATGGACGGGTGATCTAAAACACCCTATCTGATAGATGTTATTATAAAAGTTATAAATGGGGTGATCAAAACGTATATATTTAAATTAGAATATCTATTTACTCTGTAAGCTAACGTTGACAATACTATCAAATAGCCTTATTCATAAAAGTAATTATGAGATTAATCTTCATTAACATCAGTTATTCCTCAATTTGCTTATTAATACTCGCGAGCATATGAATTACTAAAACGAATTGCACTGGTAATTAAATATATGACCGGTTGCTAGGCACTCACAAAATTATTATACAATAGCTGAACTTATAAAATTGAATTACAAATAATTTTTTTATTAATTAAATGCATTTTTATAATCATTCTTTATTATTTTTGGATCGAATACTACAATGTTTGTATAATAAAAACAAGAAAATAAGTAAAAAATGTCATAACAAATATGTCAAACTTCTTAAGAAAATGTTAAGAATATCGACAAAGTATGTCTCGTATTTAATCACATTGGATTTTTCTTTTTTTGCTGGATATTAATTTTTGCAATATTTAAAATGATTCATCATATAAATATTTTTGAGTATCGACAGATTTCAATTAAATTTTAATGCTACACTAGAGAAAATATTTGAGGTGAATAATAATCAGTTTTTGCATATACATCCGGATATAGAGACACATCCGGCAATTGGTATTTTTATTTTACTATACTGTATATAGAGTGTCCCGTTTTAATGTCCCACTCCAAATAACTCTTCAATATTGAAGTTTCAACGAAAATGATCTGAATAAAAGTTGTAGAGATTTAAGTGAGCTACCTTATCATGACCTTGACTTTGACCTTGACTTCTACTTTCAAGGTCATTTGAAGGTCAACTTGCATTTTTAAATGGGAACCTTTATTTTTTACTACACTGTTTTTTTTCTACTAGTTAATTTGAACAACTTTTGTCTAAAACATTTTCTTGTCTAATATTTTTTGAGATATTTGAGGAACACTTGATAACTTTTTCAATATTTAACTTACGATATCTCGCTAACTATTTATCGGAAGAAAAAGTGGTACTAGTTTATTGCTTTATTTAGTCTCAAAAATATATTGTTACAATAGCGCATTGACTTTTGTTAACTTACTGATTTTTGGAAATTTCAAAATCATCAAATTAACCAAAATCAGGGCGCTATTGTAACAATATATTCTTGAGACTAAATAAAGCAAGAAAGTCTAGTACCACTTTTTCTTCCGACAAATAATTAGCGAGATATCGTAAGTTAAATATTGAAAAAGTTATCAAGTTTTCCTCAAATATCTCAAAAAATATTAGACAAAAATGTTTTGAACAAAAGTTGTTCAAATGAACTAGTTGAAAAAAAACAGTGTAATAAAAAATAAAGGTTCCCATTTAAAAATCGTAAGTTGACCTTCAAATGACCTTGAAAATAGAGGTCAAGGTCAAAGTTAAGGTCATGATAAAGTAGCTCACTTAAATCCCTACAACTTTTATTCAGATCATTTTCCTTGAAACTTCAATACTGAAAAGTTATTTGGGATGGGACATTAAAATGGGACTCCCTTTATATGAAAAAGTTATATTAAATGTGATATATGTTTCTTATATTTATATGTATATTTATACCTCTTTTGCAGTTACCGTCTGAAGAATTTAACCGTGTATGATACATTGTCACAAATGGATAATATTTGCGTAAACAAAAATTATGAGATCAATGAACGTGCACGGCGATGTATTCAACTAGACAGAAGAATAAGAGTGTTGGTGTACCAATAATTTAAGCCTTGCGGATTTGTAATTAACATCTTACTCCAAATGTTTTATAATTCTTATCTCTCAATTTTATTTAATTTCCTTATATACATGAATACAAAATATACATACTTGTAAATACCTGTGTGAAATTGGCACCTCATCTTTTATCACCGCAAGTTTTAACGATAGCTCTAATGGCACTCACAATAGTTCTACAGTTCCCGATAGGCTATATCAATAATTCCGCCGAATTAGTTAACAAAATGGCAGATTTAAAATATAAGGTACTAACTTCCCTTGCACCGCAACTTCTAAAAGAAGTTCAAACACGAAATCTTATGGTCCCAGAATAGTTCTACTAGGTGCGCAACCAAATTTCCGGATTTTTTGATCAATGAAAAATAGAAAATTTCAAGAGAAATACAAAAAATGGTTTATGCAAAGTATCGTCCCTCACTAGCTATACATTTTTTCCATCTCTCTGACAATACATGAATATCGCGACGATAAAACAACGCGTATTTGGACCGAAACCATTCATCCAACCAATTTTGCACTTCTTCGAAATTGGCCAAGTGTTGCCCAGCCAAGCCATGCGCCATCGACTGGAACAAGTTATAATCGGAAAGGGCCAGGTCTGGCGAATATGGCGGGTGCGGTAGCAGATCCCATTTCAGCGTTTTGATGGTGTCTTGGACGTTAGAAGTGCGATGGCACGGAGCATTGTCGTGCTGCAATATCACTCGTTCGTGTCTCGTTCTGGCCGTTTTTCGAGCAATGCATGGTTCAAAATGATCAGTTGTTGTCGGTAGCAATGCCCATTGACAGTTTCGCCCGGCTTCAGCAGCTCATAATACACGATTCCCTTCTGATCCCACCGAACGCAGAGCATTGTCTTCTTTCCGAAGCGATTTGGCAGTGCCGTCAATGTTAATGCTTCGCCAGGTGAACGCTACGATTTTTTGCGTTTGGAATTCGCGAAATATATCCACTTCTCATCGCCAGTAACAATTCGATGCAGGAAACTCTTTCTTTCATGCTGCAAAAGCAAAATTTCGGAAGTGGCTCTTCGATTTTCCATTTGTCTCTCAGTCAACTCATGTGGCACCCATTTCCCTTCCTTTTCAATTTTTCCCATGGCATGTAAACGTTTGGAAATACCTTGGCAAGTTATGTTTGATGCCTCCTCAAGTTAATCTTGTGTTTGCGTATCAACTTCATCCAATAACGCTTACAGATCAGCGTTCTCAGTTGTTTTCGGTCTTCCGGAGTGCTTCTTGTCCTCAGTGTCGAAATCGCTACTTCTGAAACTTTTAAACCAATTTTCACAGATAGTTTTCGATGGTGCATGTTCGCTGTAGGCCTCCTCAAGCAAACGACTTGCTTCAGCTGCACTTTTTTCAAATTAAAGCAGAAAAGCAAAGCTTCCCGCAAATGCTGTTTACGTGGCACGAAACTCGACATCTGCGTTGTTAGAAAAAATATTTTTGCGTTGCGATATGTGGTATTACGACTGGTTATTGTTAATAGATGTCCAAGCTATAAAAAAACACAACTTCAGAGATGTACACAGTCTGTAGACCAGATACGATGAGACTGGTTCCATCAAAGTTCTTAGCGCAGCGATATCTATGAGTGAATGATGGTAGGTGAATGTTCTACCCTTCATCTACTTAACCTCAAAATTTGAGCGAATTCGGTTGATATTTCACTGTGGTTTGACATTTTATGTCAAACCACAGTGAAATATCAACCACATGTCAAACCACAGTGAAATATCAACCACATGTCAAAGTCACGTTGTGTACGTCGGTCGAAAAACCAACTTTTAAATTGGGTAATAGTGGTGCAGAACGTACGAAACGCTAAAAAATGTGTACGGGGATGAATGCATGTCCCGTGCACAGGTTTTCCGTTGGTTTGGTCGATTCCGTGACGATCGTGAGGACCTTGCAGACGATGACAGAGCACCGCCGCCAAAAACCACTCGCAATGAAGAAAACATCGAGAAAGTCAAAGAAATTCTTCGAAGGGACCGCTGTGTGTCTGCCCAGATATTATCTGGGAGTTCTACAACGATTGTGGGCCAGAATTCGACGAGTTCGACCAGAATTTCGAGAGCCAGGCAGTTGGTTTTTGTTGCACGATAATGCACCATCGCACAAAGCCATCATGGTACGTGAATTCTTGACCAAAGAAGGCATCATTGTTATCGATCATCCACCGTATTCACCTGATTTGGCTCCGTGCGACTTCTGGCTATTTCCCAAACTGAAATTGGCGATGAAAGGAAATCGTTTCGATACCATCCCAATCATCCAAAAGACTTCGACCGCTATACTAAAGGCCATTCCAGCCGATGAGTATAAAAAATGTTTCGAAAAATTTGTTGAACGTTTCCAGCGCTGTATTGACTCAGAAGGAGACTTTTTTGAATAAACAAGAATAAAAAATCAAAATAATAAACTCTTTGTATTTTTTTTAGACCAGTCTCATTGGATCTGGGACAGACTGTGTATGTCGACTATATGTGTCGTTAGCGCCATCCATGTGTGAAACCCGGAAACTTAGTTGCGCACCTACTATAGTTTCTGATATATTTTAACAAAAGTTCTGGCTTCTAACTATTTTTAAATAATTTTCAAAATCTATCGCTAGCACCGCACTACAAAAGTAAAGTATCAGTTTACTGACAGTTCCAGCCGACTTGTTGGTCTTTTTTAGTAGTTTTACAATAGTTCTAACGCTTTAGGTGGGTTTCGTCGAGAGTTCCGGCTTTTACATACTTTTTAATAATTTTTGAATCTCAGCGGTAGTACCGCACCGAAAGAATAAAGTATCAATTTGCTGGGAGTTCTAGCCAACCTTTTGATCTTTTTTAGTAGTTCTACAATAGTTCTAACACTTTAGGTGTGTTTCGTCGAGAGTTCTGGACTTCACATATTTTTTAATAACTTTTGAATTTTAGCGCTAGCACCGCACCAAAAAAATAAACTATCAGTTTGCCAGCAGTTTCAGCCGACTTGTTGGTCTTTTTTAATAATTCTACAATAAATTTTTAATAGTTCTACAATAGTTCTAACGCTTTAGGTGGATTTCGTCGAGAGTTCCGGCCTTTACATATTTTTTAATAATTTTTTAATTTTACCGCTAGCATCGCACCACAAGAATAAAGTACCATTTTGTAGCCAGTTCCAACTGATTTTTGAAGTAACCATCGCAACAGAAGAAGAAAGTATCAGTTTGGTGATAATTCCTGCCGTGTGAGTGTGTGTGTGTGCATACACACACATGTGCTGCACAATTAACTATTAAATATACTTACGGAAAGCACATACTAATAGACACCGCCATCTTTACAGATCTTATATATGATAACCAAAACATCAAAATTAAACACACTTTAGACTCGATAGCAAAAATTATTATTTTGAATGAGAATAGATATATATTAGCAGGTATGGTACATTATATATTGTATAATATAACTAAAGCAAGAATGGTCACTACATTGCTTTCGCATTTGCTAGCACATACTGGTACATAAATATGATGATTTAAAACGACAGAGTGAGACAACAAATGCACCGCAAAGCATCGAATCGCATTTAATAACATATGCCAAATTTTAATACCAATGCAATAGCAGTTAATTTTTATTTCCCATATATATTGTTACGTCCAGCACTCTAGTGCTATATTGTAATTTGGTCTGCTGAATCTGAATTTGAAGTCAAAATTTAGAAATGTTCACATCTTATGCTCAAAATGGCGCCTTGAAGTGTAGGAAATTTTCGAAAAGGGAAAATTGGATATAAAGTATGTTGAAAAGTAAAAAATCGTAAAAAACCTGTATATAAAGTCTTTTTGGACTGTTAACAATAAATAAAAGTTAGTTTTTCAGAACTCAAAATGGCGAATCTAATATGGTCGACGATTTTTCATATATTTTTTTTAATTTTGATAACAATTGATATATATGGCTTTTTTTATGCCGCTGATTACAAATATGGAGTCAGTTTCCCAAAATTTAAAATGGCTGATCAAATATGGACAACCAAAGTACGCAAAATTATTAAAAGTTCTGCAAAAGTCAGTATACTACATGGGCTGAAAAGTCTTTGGCTTAACAATGAAAAAACGATTTTTTTAATGAAAAAAGTGTTTTATTCCTCGACATAATCTCCATTTAGAGTAATGCACTTAGTGTAACGGTCCGCTAACATTTCGATGCCGGTCTTATAGTGCTCGGTGTCAAGTCCCTCAAAATAGGCATTTGTTTCCAACTTGACCTCCTCATTCGAGTAAAATCTTTTACCAGCGAGCCACTGCTTCAGTCGGGGAAAAAGGAAATAGTCGCTGGGGGCCAGGTCTGGAGAATACGGGGGATGCGGGACCAATTCATAGCGCAATTTCTTTAATTTATCGGTCGTATCGCGAGCCGAGTGAGCTGGAGCATTGTCTTGGTGAAACAAAATTTTTTTCTTTGCCAAATGTGGCCGTTTGACCTTGACCTCGTCGTCCAATCGATCCAGTAATGTACAGTAATATTTTTTATTGATAGTTTTACCATGTTCAAGATAATCAATGAATATTATGTTATGCGCATCCCAAAAAATACTGGCCAAAACCTTTGCCGGCTGATTGTTGTGTCTTCGGGCGCTTCGGACGGCTTTCACCAGGCAATAACCACTCCGCTGACTGCCGATTGGACTCCGGTGTGTAGTGATGGTTCCATGTTTCATCCATTGTGACAAATCGACGCAAAAACTCCTTCTTATTGCGGTTAAACAGGGCCAGATTTTTCTTTGAAAGTCGAACACGTTCCGCTTTTTGCTCAATTGTCAAAAAACGCGGCACCCAACGCGCGCAAAGCTTTTTCATGTGTAAATATTCATGAATGATATGACCAACGCGTTCCTTTGAGATGCCTATGATGTTAGCTAGCTCACTCAATTTCATTTTGCGGTCATTCAACACGATTTCACTGATTTTCTGGATGTTT